CATTACATCTATTTCACCATTCTACGTTATTTATTATTTCTGCCCATGACTTTATGCTCTCTCTGCTTTATCTGTCATAGTTGCTTCATTTGGTTTGTTCTTGTCTGGCATCTTTGCTTATAGATGTTAGAGTTTGGCCTATTTTCAGTGTATGCGCTTTCCTTTAGATAGGCCACCTGTGGAGCTCTTTAATTGTTACATTTTGTATATTTACTTCTTTTTGTATGTCTACTCTCTTCCTTAAACCCCAGCCGGTGTCAGCAGATGGCTGCTCACACTGAGCCTGCTGGAGGTTTTTTCTTGTTAAAGGGACTTTTTCCTCTCCAATGTCGCTACATGCATGTTCGGTGTGGGAGATTGCTGAAAAGTCTAGGACAAAATGCAAGCAAAAATTGTCACCTCAAGCACATCCAGGATGATAATGTTTTGCAAGTAGTGACTCAATGACATCAACGTATTTTCCTTGATGGAAACTTTTGACCAATCTGACAGTAGTCTGAGATGACGTGTTTTCAATTTGCTGTACATAACAGCATTCTTATGCCTCATTTAAAGAAGCACACCTTCAAGTGACACACTTGCAGAATCAAATGTTTCTACTAAACGGCTGATAAAATAATCCTCTTGAGAAAACCTTTTTTCTATGATTTAAAGTTTCTTACCTTTCTGTGTTTATAAATAGGTTGGAGTAAAACATTTCTAAAAACATAACTCATTCAGCCAAGTTAGACAATCTTAAGCTTATATGCATGCAAAAGTTTTCATGATAATTTGCTGAGCAATTAATACTTTCATCCCTCTTTGTTTCCTCTTTCACACCCATAGCAGTCGTGACTTGCTCCTGCAGACATAATGCATAACGGCGAGGTCCCAGATTAACCGTCTGTGGTCGGAATAATCAATTCCCTCGGTAATATTTTCATAGGAGTGCTGATTTTCCTTTACTTTATGAAAGTATTCCCTCAGGCCGCCTCATACCAGTAAGGCTGGATGAGAGGGTTGTTTTAAACAGAACAGAAAAATAGTGAAACAAAAGATAATTTTGCATCACAGTTCAGACTCCTTCTCAAGGTTCTTAAAACATTTTCCTGTTTTCTTCCCATGGTAACTTGTTTTTAAACCCTAATGGGGTTTGCAGATTCTGCAGGCTTCTTAAGCAGTTATAGACTCTTTGGCAAGACTGTATCTCTGTTCTCCCTTGCAGCAAAATTAAGAAATGACAAATGAGAAAGAGGAACACCGTTCTCAATCTCATAATATAACACTTAGAGAATTTTTTTCAGATAACACCCTCCTTCATTGTCCCGCGCCTCAAGGGGCTCCAGGCAGCCAGCTCTGTGGAGCCAGAGATCGGGGGCGGCTGTGAAATCAGGATTCCCACTGCTCACAGGGTTTCTGCTGACACTGCGGAAAAAACTTGTAATTGAATTTAGTTCTAGAGCAGCTTTAGGATGAGCATCACTTTCTGCTTCTTAAGCACCTACAAAAACTAGAACAGGTTTAGATGAAGGTTTTGATCCTAACTGTTGAAAGTGCAGGCTGACTTTCTAAAACTGTTTGATTCTGAGGTATTTTACTGGTTTTAAATGTTTTGGCTAATATTTGCAATATTCCTCATAAATAAATTGCAACCAGAGACATGGCTGAACCCCTTATCAGTAGAGCTGCATTGTTCTCAGAGGGATTGCTGTGTTTCCTTTAATGACTTTGTTTTCTGTGTTTTGAGCCGTTGGTCTATTGCTCCTCAGTGTGTTTAGTAACAATCCATCTTTACCTGCGAATGGCTCCATATAGTCAGCATTGGGAATCTCGAGGTTATTGTGAATTATTTTAAGGTTCTGTCGTCCAACACACTTAATGAAATGTTTGTGTATTGCCAGGCCTGGGTTAAACTTAATGACTTGCTGAGTCATTCCTTCATTTGAATCAGGGAAGGTCAGCGACCTTTAAGGGCTAGAGCTGAACCGCTCTTCTATAGGATCTAAACTCTTGTCTGGTTTTTGTATTCATGCCTATTAGGTACCATGACCCTAACCCTTCTCCTACAGCTGATTAACCTGAGAATGATGGGTTCCCAGTCGGCCGCTCATGCTGAGCCTGGTTCTGCTGGAGGTTTCTTCCTGTTAAAAGGGAGTTTTTCCTCCCCACTGTCGCTACAAGCATGCTTAGTGTGAGGGATTGCATCCGAGTCAATGAGATCAACTGGTTTTCCTTAGATAGAAAACTTTAAATCAATCTGACTGGATGATCTGGTGAACTGTAAAGTGCCTTGAGATGACATGTGTTGTGAATTGGTGCTATATAATCAAACCGAATTGCTTTTCAACACATTTAACCTAATAAAAAATGCCTATAAGCTCATTAAAATCAGTTTGTTTTATTTTAGGCTGTGTGCTCCTGGATTATAGAGATGAATCCATTAGGGTAATTATGTCAAAATGAGGGCATGAAAACACCTCACACTCCATATGCAACCTTCATGGTCCCTTTCTGCCCTCTGACTCGTCAGCTGTAACAAGGCTGCCCGTGCACCGTGTCCGCCCGCCGTCTATCTGATGTTCATTAGGCTTCTCCCTCCTAACTGAAAGGCAGCACTGTAGATGAGGATCAAACTGTGGTCATGGTAATAAAGTTTTGCAGATAATGAGATTGCAGTTGGAGAGCGTCCTCCCACCCTGCCTTTGAACGTAACCTCGTTAAAGCACCAACCAATGTCACCAAATCCCTGCAAGCTATAAGTTCACATGAGGTAACACCAAACTCTGCAGCTAATGAACACCGAGCCTTTCTTTACAGCAGTAGACCAGACTATTGAGGATCTTCTTTCAACTTGAAATGTTTTAACCAATGTGAACTGGAGCTATTATTCTCTGCATTATATTACAGCTGTGCTGCTTCCATCAACACCTTTGTTTCTAGATGTTGGAGATCAGCCTGTTTTGCAGTGTAGTCCTGTTTCTCTGATTGTGACTAACTGGATGTGCTCTCTTCATGCTTTGACATGGGAGTTGGCTCAGAGCTCGTCTGCCTGGCTGTGTGTTTCCTGGAAAGGGCCGCCTTTTACCGCTGCTTTTTGTATTTCTGCTTCTGTCTCCTTGAACCCCAGTCGGCCTCAGCAGATGGCCGCTCACACTGAGCCTGGTTCTGCTGGAGGTTTCTTCCTGTTAAGAGGGAGTTTTTCCTCTCCACTGTCGCTACAAGCATGTTTAGTGTGACGGATTGCATTCAAGTCAATGAGTCGATGCAATCAAATGGTTTTCCTTACATTGAAAACGTTGAAACAATTTGACTGTATGATCTGGTGAACTGTTAAGTGCCTTGAGATGACGTGTTGTGAATTGGCGCTATATAAATAAACTGAATTAAATTCAAACCTAAAAATGTCTTAAAAAAAAAAAGAAAAGCACAGGAATTTAAAACTTTGGGTGTTGGGTGTGTGCTTCTATTCATAGTGATTTAAATAAATTCAGACTGTGGTCCACATGTGAGTAAATTTAAGATCAGAATAAAAGTTTTCAAACCAGATGAAAAACAGATAATTTCATCATTTATATGTGAAAAGCCTATTTGACAGAACCAGCAGAAATATGGGATCCATATGGATTTGGTTCAGGCTGAATAACAAAGATGGCCTGGGGTCACAATGGGGTTTAGTTTTCATAGGGAATTCAGTGAAACACTTTGGAAGCTATGAGTGTTATTGATTACTTTGGTAGCATTTAAAAAATATGCACAAGGCAAAAATAAAGGTCAGTGCAATAATAAAATGGTCCCTTTCCCAAAGATGTGAAAAAAAAGTGATTTGTTTTTGCACCACCGACGTGGTTAAAAAGTTTTAAAATCCTTCTAAAACTTTTTGTTAATTTTATACTGCATTTGCACAGAACCTTTCCATATCAATACTTTTCCCCCATTATTTTTAAAACGGGTTTCCTTTTCTCCTACACTGCTTGCATGCTGATCATTGCTGCACTTTATGTTTATTTCACTGGTGTAAGCTTTAAGCAATGCAATTTCGTTTTGTATATTTCGTGTATACAAAACGATAAAGTTTGTCCAAGTCCTTCCGTCTCTCATCCCCTTTCTCACCTCCCTTTCCATCTCTGTTGGATTAGAATTTAGCCCCCTAATCATTTATCAAGTTTAATATTCAAGTATCAACCAGGACCTTATGACAATTATAATAGTCTGCTTGTGATTACCTGAGCTATATTGGCTAAACAGGACAGAAAGCCATTATTGTTCCCAACTAGCCTGTTTTATTAAAAGTCAGTGGAGTTTAATTCAAAACCTTTTTTGAGATCTTCTCAGGTCATGTAAGACTTAAGATTCAGTCAATCATTTTCTGCTCAGACAAAGTTTCCACAGAAAGATTTTTTAACTCTGCAGCTCGTTGGAAAATTGAAGATTCTCAAAACGCCACGATCAACTGGATGGTTTTGGCTGCCTGCTGCTTTTCTTCTGAAATTTTTTCTAAAATACACAGGAATCCCTTTGCTTGACAGCTTGGAGCTTCAATGCACATGTTTTAAGACTGCAACTTACAATTATTTTGCAAATCAATTAATCTGTCAGTTATTTTTTGTATTGATTATTAACCGAATAGCCAAAGGTTCCTTTAAGGAGATTTTTTTATGAAATCAAATCAGGTGAAAGTTAAATTTGTGCCTCTTGAGGAGGCTGAACACAACATATTGACAAGATCTTTTTTTATCTTAAATGCAAAACGTTTTGATTTCTTTACAATTCTGGTATAATTATAGCTCTAAGTGGTTGCTCTGTCAGCTAAATGCATGTTAAGAGCAGTTAATCGATGACTGAATGAGTTGATTTCAATAATTGACTGGTCACCATTAATCAGATTGTTTCACTAAAATGCTCGCACAGCTGAAGGCTAAAATAGAAGAAAATGAAAAACAAATGACACATGCTGGTCGAAACACTTAATGCCCTGGATTTTTATTTCATTTTGTGACATTTCAGGATTTCTTTTGTGTGTGTGTGTGTGTGTGGGGGGGTGGGTTGGGTCTACAAAAACAAACAGAAAACAAAGAGTCATGAATCAAACTGGGCCACTGGAATGGGCATTGGGATTGTGGTACAGACAAAGAAAAACTACAAGTAGCCTTGTTCAGTACCAAACTCTTCACAGAAGAGAGCACTTTTTTTTTTATATATAAGTTTTTATTTTTCCCCAAATGAAGGCACCCGATAGCATGTGGTTCATGGCCTTTCAGCCTTCAGGATCACTTTTTTTTTTTAAGTAGAGAAAACGTCTAATTTCTTTTTTTTTTTTTTCAATTCTTACACATTTGTTATTACATAGAGGCTGGAATGATAAATGTCAGTTACTGCATTTTTTTACTCCCTTACATATATATATTTTTAGAGCAACAAGTAACAAAAGAATGATGTCTTCCATGAGCAATTTTAAAATAAAAAAAAGGAGGGGGGGGCGATACAAAAATATTTATTTAAAAAAAAAATTGAGATGTGGAGGAAACAGAAAAAAATGAGGCCGTCCAGTGGAACCCAAACGGCAAAGAAAAATCATACAAAAGCAGCATCAGTCAATTATAGAAAAAAAATCATATAGTGCTTAGATACGTCAGAAGCAGCAAAGTCTTCTGGGAAAGTCTTCATCCCAATTGTTTTGTTACTTGTCTCAGGAATAAAAAGGTATGGAAGAGCTTAGTTGAGACTGAAAGTGATGCCAAACAAACCCCCTCATCTACCGGCCTGCGTCTCCATGGATTCAACACCACTGATGTGGAAGGATGTCAAACCAAAACCAGGTTTAAAAATAGCTCTAGAAACGTTGCTAAACACCGACTACAGCATGGGGCACCGGTGGGAGGTACAGTGTATTTAAAAATTTAACAAAAAAAAATAAAAATGACATGAACTGGAAAATAAAAAAAGAAAAACTTTGTAAACACGGCACAATAAATAGATCCAACAGCAGGTTCTGCACCATGCATGTGAAGACACACTTTTCTGTGGTACAACTTTCACTCATCGTATTTTGAACCAGTTGCAGTTTGTTGTTTTCTCTTTTAACTTTTTTTTTAACTTTATATCTCGAGTGCAAAACATCACAAATGAACAATTCTGTATTCAAGTAATGTTATATACAAGAGCGGGGTGGAGGGGGGGGCGGGATATTACAAATATGCAGTACTGTACATATAATTGCCATATTAAGAATTTACAGACGATCTCTTATTAACAGTAACAAACAGGGAAATATGGGCGGGGCGGGGAGTTAACGAAAAAAATTTGTACGAGACTAGCATTGCAATTAAGTCCCAAAACGGTCGCCATGGAAACCCAACCTTGCCGTGCTCATTCAGCCACCGCTTGCATTCACGACTACCAAATGATGCATAGCACCCAAAAAAAAAATAAATAAAAAAAAACAGAAGAAAATGATGGGTCACGTTTCCCTCGCAGCCGTTAGCCCGAGGCTACGTGACCTCCATGGCCACTGTGTTCTCTGACAGACTGTTCAGTGCTGGCTTGTCTTGTTCCAGATTCTCCCTGCAATGAGACAAACACAGGCAGAAAAACAGTTAGTTCAAAATCTGAATTGGTTACGCAATTGGATAAAATGAAAGCTGGATTTTAGCTCTGGGGGGAGGGGGAACAAAGGCAAGTACAGAGACAATAACTTTAAAAATGTCCTCTGCTTTACTGAATTATTCTGCTGCTTTAAACCCTCAAGAAAGTCCCAATACCTCCTGATATAGATGGTCCTCAGTATTTTTTCCAGATTCTCAAACATTTTGACTAAAGTGAGCTAAACTGTTTTTTTTTTTTTGACAAACTTGCTGCAGTAGAGTAGATCATATTTCCTGCAGAACTAATTTGTACATTTTCCAAAGGTATGGCGCCCAACCTATTATCTGATTGGTCAGATTTAAATTGGGTGTGGCTACCACAGAAATAAATACTGCAGTGGGAGTATAGTTCTTGTTCCTAGGAAGTAGGAAAAGATACATTTCTCTGTTCTAGCAGAGTGTGCAGGTCCCGATTTTAAAATGAGAGAAAATGTATTTAAGTTACACCAAGTTCAGTGGAAGACCATAAGAACGATTCAGCATTTTGAAGGATGACAGTCTGAAAAGTTCAAAACTCATCCGCACTCATGGATGTTGAATAGAAGCACTTGGCTGCTTTCCCTCAACACTGCGGGTAAAGGCTTCAGAGAACCAATAGAAATGTCTTTTCACTAAACTAGATTCAAAACTGCTATGAATTCTGAGAGATGTGGGCAGAGAAAAGGACTGGCTCTGATGGCGATTTTTTTGTTTCATTTGGCAAAACGTTCGTTTGATTTGTGTGTATCTGACTGTGTTATTATTCCCCCACTAAATGAAAAAAGTCAGAATTTATTATTATCTAGAGACTATTAATAATAGGAGGTGAAATGCAGCTCCAGACAAGTTGAGCGTGTGGTGACGTCATCAGTGCGCTTCAGTTCCAATTGACCCATATTGATCCTGCTTGCTCCTGTTATTCCAAGTCCAGGCTTTCCTGTGTTCTTCTCCAGAACATACTTGGCGAGGACACAAGTCCTTAAGAAACAGCCTTAGTCTTTCAACCGAGCCCAGCAGAGTTGGTGGTAGGACCAAACTCTTTATCAAAGTCAAAATTGACCTTTAAGCAGGCAGATAAATGAAACCCCATTAACTGGATTTCTCTTTGGGTTTAATAAAGTATTATTGAATTGAAGTGGAATCGCTAATCCTTGATAGATTAGTATAAAAGGCTTATATTGTGATACATTTTTCAGCCATATTGCACAGCTTTACTCCAAAACAGCCGTTAGTGATTAAGTTAGACGCCTCAGTTGTTCTATTCTGTTGGGTAAACTTCTGTTTCTGCTATTGACTTATAAAAGAAACGGCTGCCATGAATAAATGAGGACCAACAACAGGTCAGAAGGTGTAGTCAGGGACTTATACAGGCCAGGGAAAATGTCTGGAGGACAGGAGATATGATACCAAGGTTTTAACAAACTTTTACAGATTTCTGGATTATCAGATCCACACTCAGTACTTGTCATTTTTGCTCTTTGTCTGAACAGCACCGAAACCTCAAAGCAAATTCAGGAGAATAAGCTACAGGCTTATAACTGCATTAGCGCTGAACTACTGAGGCGTCAGGCTGCTCATCAAATGGTGTTCTAGTTGAAAAGGGTCAGATAAATGGCTATTTTAAAGATATTTTCAGTATATAATTTATCCTTAGATACTCACCCGGGCACCATGTCCAGCGGAGAGGTGGAGGCTGTGGCCACCTTTTGTTTCTGACAGTTGGCGGTTGCTGGGTGGGCGAGCTTTAAGGCGGATGTCGGCATGGTGGCGCTCAGCGTCCGGGGGGCGTGGACGCGTTTACTGGCGGGGATTCCTAGACGGAGGCTGTTGTTGTTTCCAAGCAGGACCTGAGTGGCGGTGTTGGTGCTAGTGGTGTTGGCGGGATGGGCGGTGCCGTTGTTACTGGTGGCCGAGCTGAGCGTGGTGGAGCAGGGGTGGAGCTGGGCGGACGTCGGGGTCGAGGTTGGAGCCGGGGCGGCGGGGGACGCTGTGCTAGTGAGCGGCAAGCCCTTATAGACACCTGGGAGGAGGGTAGAGGGGCGGCAGATGATCATTAAAAGGAAAAACAAAAATATAGTTTCAACTCTTCCAATTATTTCCAATGAACCAGAGGAAGCAGATAAATATCTCATGTTTAAATCTTTTCTTTTTAATTTTCCATAGCCTTATTACATCACAGCATATACCTAAATTTAACTTAATTATTTTATTTATTTATTTATTTTTTATTATTTTTTTCCAGGTCAGATCAGCCGATCTGTTTTAAATCCCCCTCATTCCTGTGCTCAAAAACATTTGAAAACAACCACTATAATGGGGCTGTGTCTGAACGCCCTGACCCCTAAAATGATTGCGGTTCCACCATTTTATGAGTGGAAGAATATCTAGTGGCTGAAAAAGTAGTAGATTTATAATTTTCCACAATGCACCTTGAAAAGTAGCTTAGATCCAAGGTCAGCAGAAGAGCAGAAATATCCCAGAATGCTTTGGAAGAGCTTTTCTTGCAAAGCACCATGGGATTTGTTTTAGGGGAGAGGGAGAAAAAGATGGCGCAGGCAGCGTGAGGTGAGCTGGAGTCATGTGACAAATAGTGAGCGAAGTAGTGATCAACTGTTTGAAGTCAGATAACCGAGTTGATTATAAAGTCTGCCATGTAGTCCCAGCTCTATAGAGTGATTGAAGGATTTATGGTGGACGTTCAGACACAGCTTAGCATTTCTTTGTTTTCCTTCCTGGTGTTTAAATCTCTTAAAATGTCTGTTTATTACAGTTTTGTTGTAGTTTTGTTTATTTTATAGTCTTGAAAATCCAATTGTTTCTTTTTTCTAAATCCACCAGTCTGAATACATGTGATGTTAGGTATGGTGAGGACTAACATCACACCTTCAAAAGATTTCTTTGTAGTTCCAAACAAATGTAAGTGTTCAAGTGGTGAACAGGGCTGCTTAAGAAAGGATGACTCTTTTTAAAGCCAGGAACACATCATTCTAGTGGTTTCTGTTCTCATCTTATGATAGAAACATTTGACCATTTATTCACTGATACTAGACCCACTTCTGCCGTTGAACTTTAATTAAAACATGTTGGGTTTTTGTTCATAAGCAGCTATATCAAATCTTTGCGTTTCAGATTGAGCTAATTGTTAAAGACAGAAACTTATTCTCATCATGTCTCCATTAGTTTCCCTTCTGACTCTAAACCTCAAGGCTGACTGAGGGCAGCAGACGTACCTGAGGAGAGGATGCCATTGACTCCGCCTCCAGGGGCCAGTTCGTCCTTCGTTTTCAGAACCAGCAGTTGTTCGGCGGTAACGAGGGCTGAGGCGGCGAACTGAGCACTAGCCTGGTCCAACGTGTTGGCCATGCTCTGTTGGAGGCGTAGGGAGTTAGTGATTAGAGGAGCGGTTAAACTCAGCAGGAAGGCGGCTGAATGTGGGTGGATACTAACCTGGCTGCTGTTGGCAGTGCTGTTGGCTTGGTGTTGCTGCTGGACCTGCTCCAGCTGCTGTTTGTGCATCAGAGACAGCTGCTCCTGATGCTGCTGGTACTGTTCTGCTGTGAAAGCTGGGAGAAAGAGGAGATGTTTTAGTCATTTGGAGAAAAAGCTCTTTACACCACAAAGGATAACTAAAACACTTTCCAGATCTCCACTGAACACAACATTTAAAAACACTGAATAATTATCAATTTGTAGACTCAAAACATAAAACACGGAAGCCCCATGAAAGGATCAATAATCTCTGCAACCTTAAAGGTCTGGTTATCCTCCCACAGCAGTGTGTCGCAGTGAGATTGTCGCAGATATGTTTGATTTATGCCCATTTTTGAAGTTTGGTCTGTGCTATGTTATTCCACGCCACAACGCATGAGGAACAATCAGGAACTAGCTGTGGGTCTAGATACGGCTGAGGTGGTGACGAAGTGGGGGCAAGTTTGTACGCCAGCGCAGGGACATGAGGGCGAAAAAGAGCGGGGATCCAGGTGGAAACTGGGTCCCAGCGTTCTCGCGCACCTCGCTCGTCCATCTTCAAAAGTCGTTTTCCACAATGGCGGTCATAAAAACAAAGCAAGCAGGTAAGGTACCAAACAGGAAATATGTATAGTGTAAAGCGGATTTAAATTTGACCAATCAGAGGCCTCCTGTCTGCGGTCATCTACAATTATGGAGCGGTACACTAGAGTGTCTGCAGGAAGTTGACCTGGTTTCTGAGTATCAATCAGCCTTAAGATGATGACGACCTTCCCTTAAAGACCTGAACAGTCTTAGGCAGATGCTGCAACAGTTCAAGTCAAAGATTTTCATCACAGATTTTTACAACCTGTGGTTAAGTTATCAGATATTTGAAGAAAAACAAGGCATCCAAATGTTTACAATAGATATAGGGAACAGAGGCTGTACCAACTGCTGAAGCTACGTCTCAAATTACAACAATTAAAAGCAAATCACTTTAAATCCACTTTCAGTTTGATACTCAAACAACTGGAAAACAAAGGAAACTAGTTTGCAGCAGAATAATCAAAGAGTCCTACCAACCAAGAGTCAATGATCTGCTGCACAACAGTCAGCAATCATCACATAAATCACAATAATAAACTAGAAAAACACTCCGAGCCCAGACCTCCCTCAAAGCAGCAAATATCAACCCTAATTGTGAATTACTCCTACAGCTAAAAACTTACACATGATCTGGATTATCAAATTTAAATGAATTGTTTTTCGGCATGAGGCTCATCTCTGGTAAAAAAAAAAAAAAAAAAATTCACAACTGATCCTAACCACAAGTCAACGATCCCTTTCACGTTTTTTGTGTTAATTAAAATTAGGGATGCACGATATTGGGATTTTGGCCGATATGCCGATATTTTAAAACTCATGTAGCCGATAACCGATATCGATTCCGATGTTAAAGCTGGACAAAAATAAGTAGTCATTGAAAATAGCAGTTTTGAAAATACCATTTCTGACACTTTGAAAAATAATATACTCAAATATATTTTCATATGCTGATATCAAATTGATTTTTAAAAACCCAGTATCGATCCATTTTACTTTCAAAATCTCGTGAAATTTAATCGTTCTATTACAAACTCTCGTGATATTTAGCAAATTCTTGTGAGATTTTGTTAGTAAAATAGATCGATACCGCGTCAATATATCAACATATAAAAATATGGCAAAATGTTGTGAATTTTCGGGGGATTTCGCAGCATAACGATGACATATAGCAATATTTCATTAGTAAAAGAGATTGATATGGTGTTTTTAAATGGCAATATATCAGCATATGAAGATATTGTGATATTTTAATGTATCAATATTTTTTCCCTCGTCTTTAGAAGTTTTTAAGTCTGTAAAAAAGAAGTTTTTGAGGAAGAAGAAGAAGTATTTTTTATTTTCTTTAGACTATAGAAACTCAGAAGCTGATCAAATATCGGGTTAAATATTGGTGGGGTGGCCGATGTCCGATATTCAGTTTTAAGGCCGATACCGATAGGGGGCCGATTATATTGTGCATCCCTAATTAAAATACCTCCAGACTTTCTCAGTCTGATGCTGAAGCTGTCTACACTCACTGCTGCCACCCTCTAGTTTAGTGGGGAACTGCTGGTTCCACCAAATATCCGCATCTCATGATGTTGGAGAGAATCTTTGATTATGATCTGGATTGTCACCAACATTTAATGGATTGTTCCTTGGAATGAGGAGCACCTCTAATAAAAGTGTCCTTAAAATCCACCCATAACGTTTAAAGCTAGCCTGTAAACAGAAACGCACAAACTTTCCTAAAAACAAAACCATGTTTTAATCAATCATACCTGATCAACACCTGAACCCGCAAAAAATTAGGTGAGCAACTAAAGATTATTTTGCAATTCCATTACTCTTATTTTTTCAATTATTAATCAGATAGCAAAAGTTTCTTAAAGAAGACTTTTTGCAAAATTAAACCAGGTGAAAAACTTTTTCCACTCGAGTTCTGGATGGATCATATTGTCAGATAAAAGATCTTCATCTTAAATGTAAAAATTTTTTTTTTTTTTTTACAATTTTTTCATAATTACTGCTAAAAGTGGGTTGCTCTGTCCGCTATAGGCCTGTTTTAGCATGCCTATAGCGATTAATTTAACAATTAATCGATTACTAAATTAGTTGACTATTTTAATAATCGATTCACCACAATTAATATGAATGTTTCAGCCCTAAACATTTTTTAATTTTTTTTAAACAAATGCCTCTGATGAGTAGGTGTTTGCATAAATCAATCTGAACCGGTTCCAACCTTTCAATTCTCCTAGAATCTTTCAATCTTTTCCAGATGCCCCCTTCTATTTCTGCCCCCAGAAATAGAAGCTGCTGAACATAAGCGAAGAAAAATCCACACCAGGGCTAGAACCAAATCAACAAATTACCAATCAGCTACTTGCTAGGCTAGCAACTATTATTTTAACACAAATGGCGCTGGTCTTTGGTCCACAGCACTCGTGTAGTAAGGTAGGTTACCTGCGGGAATTTGTTCCTCTAAACTCATAGCGCACCTTCTGCAAAGAGAGTGGAGCCTTATTTATACTTTCTTCCTTACTTTACATCCTAACAGACACCCGCCTTGTTTCCAAAATGTTCTAGATAGAACAGCCAACATAAAACATCACTACTTTGGTTTCTAGTTGAATAAAACAGAGGTGCAGTAAAGGATGCTGAGGAGATAAACAGTCAGGGTGCCGTCCTGCTGCACTGCTTTAGTTTCAGACACTCAGCTTAGCACCACACAGGAGCCAGAATCAGGGGAATGAAATAATAAAAATGTCTCATATTGCATAAAGAACCTCAAGCATCAGATGCTGGATATGTAAATATGTTTCAGTTATGTTTTCAAATAGAATGTTCCCTAAGAAAATAATAACATTTGTTATGATATTAATATAGTAGCAGAAAATAAATGCTAATTTACAGTAATGTTCACATAAGTTAGGTGTACAAGAAATAAAATTTCATTCAGAAGTTCTTTTGGCATTAACATGTAAACTTTTATAATTTTTTCTCTTAAAATAATCTGACTTAACCGTAATCGTTCAAACTCAAACCAACTAATAATATTTTCCCGCAAACAGTTTGTGAAAGTCCCTATAGGAATTTATAAGGAATTTAATTACATCCCAGTGATAAGACAGGAATTATCAAGCTGCTGGTAAACAGCAGTATTTTCTTTCTGACTCTTTGTTTTCCGTGTGAATGTTCCCCCTGTGCACTGGACGGAACGTTGCCTCAAGTCTCTTGTTTTGAACTTCGTATTGATTTTAAAGTCTTGTTTCACATTTCATTAGGAGGCGTCTTCATGCTTCTCTGAAATATTGATCAACATTTTCCCTCACCAACCCTTCAGTTTTCCATTCCAAAGGATCTGAGAATCACTTTCATCTCGAAGTCAAATCAATTACAATGATAACTAGTATAAATTCCTTTTCATATTGATATAAACAATGACCAGTTAGCTTTAGTCTGATGCGTTCAGGTGCAGCTTTGCTGATAAAAGCCTGGAATACAACATCCAGACCAGCGGCACCTGAATGCCTTTACAGTGAAACAACTGAGGACGTGTAGCATTTAGTCCGTATGCTGCTCTACAAGCCTCTGTGTCAAACAACAGATCCAGCCAGTGAGCCCCATGAATTTATTCGACATTTAATTGACACCTGTGGGATTGGGTGGGTTGGGGGTCAAACTCTGTAACAACAGGGCCAGAAAATAACTTTCACAAAGCAACTGCATTTAGAACCAGTACTGGTTCTGCAAATAAGAAAAAACAAAAAGCTCAAACGAAGCATATGTATACTCTGCAGGAAAAGAGAACCTGGACTGCAAGAACCAAATGAAATCATTCCGTTGAACTCATAACTTGTCTTTGCATGGAATGAAATGTTCTGGTTCTAGGCACCTTAAGGCAGAAATAAACTCGTCCTTTGGATTGTCATGCCGTCTCTGTGCCCTGTGTATAAACTCAGAAGTGCTGTACATGTTTATAGTAGACAGGGATGTGGGTGCAATCCTCTGATCAACATTACACGAGGAAATACAAAAAATAAAAAAATAAATAAGCAGAAGAAACAGGCATCCCACTTCCAAAATGGGTGACCACAGTATCATTTAAGAATTATTAAAGAATACTAGGTGTTTATGGCAGAGAAATATACAGCGGAATAAAAAAAATCCACTAAAAAAAGTCCATTGGACGGTATTTCATTTTTTTTTTTTGGATTTAACGTGACCTGGATGACTGAGAACCTTTAACAGAATAAAAAGGTAGGTTTACTTGCTGCACAAACAGACGTGACAATGGGGAAACCGGCCCCACTGTGAAACCCATTTGTACCCACTCCTTTTTCAAATAACAGATATAAAATTATTTTACCAAATCAAACCCGAATGCATTTTATAGTATTGGTAGTTGTTTCAGACTTAATTCATGTATGATGTGGTGGAAACAAACTAAAATCCTTGTTTTTACCACAAGCTTGGCCAATAAACTCGCTCCTTTATGCCATTTTTTAGTCACAGAATAAAAACAAACAACACTGCATTTAACCAAACTGTTCCACTTGAACCTTCTGCATCATCTGATCTCAGTGAAGGCAAATTTGTTCATGGAGAACAACTTCATATTCTCCCATTTGGAAGTGCGTGAACGAGCGCTGATGCTGCGGGCCTGGTCCACGCTGGTGGGGCGGAGACAACAGATTGCATCACTTTTTGGCACGCCTCTCCTCACGCCCTGTACAATGCGGTGAGTATAAACCAAGCTACAGATTCTAGAAAACATTCCTATTCCTCCAGAGTGTGTGTTGGCCATTTTAAAAAATAAAGTAAAAAGTAAGCAAGCTGTGACATCAGTTTTCCCAATTTACACTTTCACCAGTCAGTTTTATAGATGTTGGGAAACATTGAGCTGCTTTTCCCTCCACAACACACAGAACTGAGAGGAAAGCATGTTTAGTTTGTGTAACACAGGACTAAGGATGAAGGTGGCCTGTAAAGGCATCATAACCCCCCTGAGCTCATCCACAACCTGCCAGTTTACAATCAAACCGTACTGTATGTGTTTTTGAGTGGTTGTTAAATCGGAGTGAACAGAGATTCAGACCCATGATTGAATTTTTGACACGACAGCTGTTCTAAACAGAACACTAAAGAGTGATAAAAAAGGTATATGCCATTTATTTTGGCTACCGTATTTTCACGACCATAAGGCGCACCGTACTAAAAGGCGCAATCTCAGTTATGTGTCCCATTTCTGTATTTAACACACACATAAGGCGCACCGGACTATAGGGCGCGTTTTTTATATACAGGTACATGTCCTCTACTACCTTTAAATAGCTCTACTGCGTATTTAAAAATACAGCGGGGGCAAAACTGAGTATGACTGTGCTTTATTCATGTATTATTACAAAGTATTAATCAAACTTGGGAGCTGGCCATGAGACAGACACATCGCAGATGACACAGCGCTGTGATCACTCCTAAATTAACGTAAAATCCTGAAACCTGCCGATGGAATATGTTCGCTTTTATTGCCGGTATCCTGGTGCCTGCAGTTTAAATTATTTAGATGAAAAACACCTGCCAGCCACCGCGGTGAGGCTGCTGTTGAAGGGATTTCTACTGTCGGTGCACCGCGGGTATGTGGGGGTCTGAGCGCCTCCGACAGAAATAGATAATCTGGATGAACTGACTGCAATTATTAAGTTTTCAGGTGGACTTTCTCACTTAAAAACATATTAAAACTACTTTATTCCCACTGATCACAGCAAATATAGCTGCAAGATTTAGATTATTTAGATGAAAAACACCTGCCAGCCGCCGCGGTGAAGAGGAGGAGACCCGCCCAGAGGCTGCTGTTGAATTAAGTTTTCAGGTAGAAAAATAGAGCGGGAGCAAAACTGAGTATGTTTGTGCTTTATTCATGTATTTATTACAAAGTATTAATCAAACCCATCAAAGTCATCATCCTCTGTTTCTGAATTAAACAGCTGCACTAATGACAGTTTCCCATTCTTCGCTGTCAGTCACTTTCCGTGCAGCGCGGCTCCTCAGAAATAATGCCGGCTTTTGCAAAAGCTTGAACAACAGAGCCAGCAGACACGTTAGTTCAAGCATCAACAATCCATCCGCAAACGGTGGCGTAACTTGCCCGGCGCTGCCTTCCACTTATCCTGAAACTGTGGACTCCGTCTGTCATCCATCGCTCCCACGCCGCTCGCAGCCTTACTTTGAACGGCCGCTTCACACCGATGTTGGGCGGTTGAAGTTCCTTTGTCAGACCCCCGAGATAACGGCGAGCACAGCGTTTATTTTTTTTCACCATGTTTTTCACATCGGCTGTGAGATGGGCACGCAGCGATGGTGATGTGTGGAAAAAAACACCTGTTCTCCTCACATACACCTGCCTCAGCCAAGCTTTCATCATCTCCTCATCCATCCAGCCCTTTCCATTTGCCTTAATATGTCAGAGCGCTGTGTCTGTCTCGCTGTCAGCTCCCAGATCAGCTTCTCTGATTGGTTGATGCGGCGCTTCCAGCAGCAAAACTTCAATTTTTCCATCTCGAGCAGCAGCAGCGCGTTGGCGGCGCGCACCCGAAGCGCTGCGCCTGCTGCTCAAAACGCACTGCGGGACCTTTTGCTGCGCCTGTACGCTCGTCAACCGTTGACTTTGCATGTAAACTCGCTGCTTCTGCTGCACCTGCTGCGTCCGGTTCACAGCGAGCGCATTAATTTGTTTCACCATGTTTTTCACATCAGCTGTGAGATGGGCACGCATGGAGTCAGATTAACAGCGATGGTGATGAGTGGAAAAAAAACACCTGGTCTCCTTACATTCAGCCACTCTTTCATCATCTCCTCAATGAGGTGGTCTCAAAAGTCGCACTTGCAACACACATAGGGCGCACCGCACCAAAGGGCGCACCGCACATTTTAAGGGGAAAAAAGACGTTTATGTGCGCCTTATAGTCGTGAAAATACGGTACTTACCAGCAACAGGTGTGGGAGGAGGGACAGCCCTCGCTGGCCGCTGCAATCCAAATGGTTTCCCCCCGGTGGCGGAGAGCGGACGCTTCACGCTTCGACTAATCCTCCTGAACAGAGGGTGGGCGTTGTCCAGCTCATGTAGTGGTAGTGTCCGTGGTCTAAAGTGCCTCCAGCGGCAGGACTTTATATTAGACAGTATCTGGCTGAGGTCCGTGGAAGAAGGAGAGGTGGTCGGGGGAACGGAGGGGTTGTTGGAGGAGGTGGAACTTCTGTCCGAGGTATTCGTTTCTGAGGTGCCCGCAAATGTGTCTGGTGCCAGTGAGCGCGAAGTCGCAGAGGGAGGAGGAGGTGAAGGAGAAGCTAGTGGCGGCAGGTCCGTGGCCTCCAGGTCCAGTTGGTGGAACACGTTGTCGCCGTCAGTGCACGCCCTGTCCAGCAAGACCCTGGACGACAACAAAACAAATTCAGCCATGAAACGATCTGCTACGTTACAAAAGGCACTGTGTAAACAGGAGGCTCCAACTGACCTGCCGCCTCGCCCCACACGCCGCCGTGTCATGCCCAGACATCGGCGTGGCACAGTCAGTGTAGTGAGACTGTAACGAAAGCGAGCTTCTGCCAAACCGCCTTCCCAAGGACCGCTCCACGGCCAACTACCCACCAGATCTGGACGAGCCTGGAAACACACAGAGGACTTTAAAGAAGGGAACATTGCCAACTCATTACCTCCGGAGTCCAAAACTTGCAAAAAAAGATCAGCTATAGGAAAAAAAATAAATAAAATAAAATAATCTACCATTGGGAGAGTAAAGATAACCCTAATAACTATTGTTCCATTTGTAAAACAGTCCTGATGTTTGATATGAGTTCTAACAAGTATGGCTCTTACAGCAAAGTACTGGCAGCCAGCTTTCCTGCGAAAGGCGTAGGCTCCATCGGGGTCGTTCTCCTCCTCTGCTTCAGATGAGCCTGAGTGGAGCTGTGGACAGAAGAGGTCAGAGGTCAAGTTAGATGGATATCCACAATAATGCTTTGTCCCGACAGTATTATTAATTCATGGACATCATTACTACAGCAGCCATCTTTGACCCACTGTCGCGAACGTTTTAGGCATCTCCATGCCTTCACACACACAGCTTAAATAAACGGCTGATCGACTGCTAAGGAGCTTATGCAATCTTCTGATTCGGGGGGTTCTGCAAAAGCGACTTCCAAGTGAGGCAGGACAGCGGGTTCTGAGGACAGTGGCCTCAAGGACCCATATTCTTCACTATGAAGGTTAAATATTGATCCTGACAGAACTGACAGGGACAGGCAGGAGGATGAATATGGGGATACATGGCAGACAAAATTTTAAGACAAGAAAGTTGAACAATACAACTAATCCATAAATTCTCCTTTTTTCTACAGTTTGCAAAGATATTCCCGACCTTTAAATAACCTAAATCTATTCCATAGTTCTCCTGAGTTCAGTGGGAAGCCTGTAGATTACTGAAGCTAAAGCGTTAGCATGGTTTGGGGTGTCTACCTGGGAGAAGGGCTCATCGTCAGAGCTGGGAAAGTCGTACTGGTTCAGGTCTTTAGCATTGAACACAACAGGACCCGGATGGTGGGGCATTCCTGATGACAACGGCAACATCTTCGGCTTCTTTTCGTATTTCCGTTTTTGCCGCGAAGGTTCTGCCTTCTCAGGCTACAAAGAGAGAGAGAGAGAGTAGTTAATGATGTGCCTCCATCTTCAGACAGTTTGTACGTGGCTGTCACTCAAACAGAAATCTTTTTTTGGGGGAATACACTTGTCTTGTTTCTAACGGCGGGGTCACCTTAGACTTGTAGTCCTTGGATTCCATGTGGTCCTGATGTCGGTACTGATTGGTGAGCGGGACCAGGGGAATGATCTGTGGCCTCACCAGCGCCCGCTCAGCCAGAACCTCTGCCATGATTTCTCCACCAAAGTCTGACATGGAATTTCTGGGATGAAAAAAATAAAGCATCAGACCTTCAGTTCATCTCTAAACTACATAAATGTACAGAGAAGCACAGATAGGTCATTTATTTCTCTGTGGCCTCTCAGAGTCACCCTCGACCAGAACTCACCGCTTTTCGACTATCTCCAGTGTCAGGTGCAGCAGCTCTCTCTTGCTCTTCTCCCTCCTCTTGATCATCTCCAGGATGGTGACCGCTCTGCTCAGATCCCTGCGAAGCTTCAGCATCTTCTCATAGGATGCCTCGTCGTTCTTACGGTTCTGGACAAATAAAGGATAAATATGCTTCTTAACTGAGAGTAAAAGGGAAAAAAATTAAATCTCAACATTTTAAAAACAGAACTCAAACATTTAGCCGATATGTCCATTAAAGGCACTGCAGACAAAGGAAACTCCACCATCTACAAACTCAGTATATCACTCTTGATGCTAGCATTGTAAGACTCAGGTTAAGCTTTATTGCATCTAAAAAGCTGCTATTCTAGGTCTAAAATAATCTGTTCTTACATCTAACACAGAGGGATGATATTTGGAAGATTATTTAACAACAAGCTGGCGATTCTTCCCTCATAGCACATATCTAGCATCAATAATCTCACATATTAAGACGGTTTTATCCGTCTCATATTTGCTGGGTTATAACCACGTCATTCATTTGCATGAAAACAGCTTTGTTTCTAATGATCAATCCTATAAATAAACCATAAGAAACACTTAGACCAACTCCTCGCCTTCTCTTGCCCACATACTTCTAAATGATCAGAATGTAGATCATAAATGGGCTTAAACAGCTAATCAGAATGAAAATAAAAATGACTAATGATTGGGCCTTTGTTGAACAATAATAACAGCCTGATTGGTTCATTTTTAACCTTTACTGTAATAGACTGGATGAGAAAAAGCTAAAGCCGATATCGGGTTCTTCAGTCAACCTCCTGGATTGCACATAGATGCTTCATAATTAGGCCACATTAATCAGCAATCTCAATACAAGTCTATTTTATTAAATTTGTACAACATTAAAGCACACTCGGTATGTCAAAGCCCAAAAAACCTCCCACACCCTTCCTTGAATGCATACTATTAGGACTATGATGGTTTAAAGTTTTATGACTGACAGTAATTTAACAACCAACATGGTTTTCCCTGCAGAGCAACAAGCTCTAAGCGTCACTGCTTCTATTTCTGGCCCTTCAGGTGAAGGTAGGGATAATTCACTCAGCCTACACACAAGCTGAAGTATGCAGAAAATGTACAACCCTCCAGACAGGATCCAGCCCATCTTTTCACAGTTCTTATGATTGACGCAGCAGGAAGCAGAGGTTCAGCAACAACAAAAATTCTGCAGCCGGGACCAAGAGCTTAGTTATGCGCTCACATTAATTACTATAAAACAACTAAACAGCCCAGCTCAACAAGTTTTCTAAAATCCCACTTATATCTTGTCAAACTCGCCGGATGCTGAAGAAGCATCAGTGCAGAAGAAAATGTGAGCAGACCAACCTTCCTGGTCTGCATCTTCTCTGTGCGCCGTCGGAAGGCCACGTAAGGGTCTCCGGTACTGGAGCCGTCCCGTCTCTCCTGCTTTACGGTCGGGATCAAAGAGTTGGCCTTGCTGTTTTTCCTCTTTCGGCTCCAGTAATCGAAGACCTCCTTGATGAGCTCGTCGTCCTCCTTCAGCAGCAGCTTGGCTTCAGGAAGACTCACAAGCTAAAAGGAAAAAAACAAAACAAGAGGTTTGTTTCAGATGAATCCAGTTTTAATGTGACAGAGTATCGCGTTTTCAAGTAGAGAGCAGGCGGCGCTGACCTGCTGTCCGCTGCCTTTCTCCAGCCGGTCGATCATCTCCTCAAACTGAAGGCAGCTGATCTCCATCTTCTTCTTCAGCTTGTTGACGAAGGCCTCATCGTCTGCGTCCAGGTCGTAGTCTGGTTGCTCTGTGTCCAAGCTGAAAGCTGAAAACGAGAGTCTACATTTAATTCTACTAGAACTTTATTTAATGAATATTAAAAACGAAATATGTTTAAAAAATTTTTTCCAGAGATAAAATTTATCTGTTAAAACTAGAGCACAACAGTTTCCCAAGAGTCTTTTGCAGAACTCCAAGCACCAAAATGAAACCTTTACCTCAGCTGGTCTTAATATGTCTCTGGTTTCAAAATCCCAAACTAGTGTTTCATAATTACTTCATTAGGAGATTTAAAGCACATCTAATCAATCCTGATGTAATTGTTTTTCTGCATAGATCAGAGAAAGATGCACCAACGCTCTGCCTGGTGATCGGTACTGGTTGATTTTCAGCTTCACCAGCTTTGCAGAAAGTCCAAAATCCAATTTATTTTTAATTAGAGAATGCACCATAACTAAAGGCTAATGGGCTGCGACTTAAAGTAATTTTCAGAATGAGTAAGGCTTTTAAAACAAGTGTAGGAAGCTAAAAAAAAGCTGGAAGAAGCCATTTAAGAGGAAACACTTGTGTTTCATCCCGGATCCAACATCATGGAACTCAGAGTTCACAAGCTAACAGGAACAGCGGACATAATGCTGTTATAAATGTGAGCTTCAATCAGTCATAGAAGATCCTGAAAATGAAAAACTATTATATATTAGGAAATCTCAATGTTATACTCTCCTTCACCCTGACCATTAAAAACAGATGCTGTTTCTATTACTCAGCGATGCCAAGCACATTTAGTGCAAATAGCAGATACTAAAGAAGTTACACATCTTTCCTAACATCTACAGGTAAAAGCCAGTAAATCAGAATATTTTGAAAAACTTAATTTCAGTAATTGCATTCAAAAGGTGTAACTTTTACATTATATTTATTCATTGCACACAGACTGATGCATTCAAATGTTTATTTCATTTAATTTTGATGATTTGAAGTGGCAACAAATGAAAATCCAAAATTTCGTGTGTCACAAAATTAGAATATTACTTAAGGCTAATACAAAAAAGGGATTTTTTAGAAATGTTGGCCAACTGAAAAGTATGAAAATGAAAAATATGAGCATGTCCAATACTCAATACTTGGTTGGAGCTCCTTTTGCCTCAATTACTGCATTAATGCGGCGTGGCATGGAGTCGATGAGTTTCTGGCATTGCTCAGGTGTTATGAGAGCCCAGGTTGCTCTGATAGTGGCCTTCAACTCTTCTGCGTTTTGGGGTCTGGCATTCTGCATCTTCCTTTTCACAATACCCCACAGATTTTCTATGGGGCTAAGGTCAGGGGAGTTGGCTGGCCAATTAAGAACAGAAATACCATGGTCCGTAAACCAGGCACGGGTAGATTTTGCGCTGTGTGCAGGCGCCAAGTCCTGTTGGAACCTGAAATCTCCATCTCCATAGAGCAGGTCAGCAGTAGGAAGCATGAAATGCTCTAAAACTTGCTGGTAGACGGCTGCGTTGACCCTGGATCTCAGGAAACAGAGTGGACCGACACCAGCAGGTGACATGGCACCCCAAACCATCACTGATGGTGGAAACTCTACACTAGACTTCAGGCGACGTGGATCCTGTGCCTCTCCTGTCTTCCTCCAGACTCTGGGACCTCGATTTCCAAAGGAAATTTAAAATTTGCTTTGGTCAGAAAACATGACTTTGGACCACTCAGCAGCAGTCCAGCTCTTTTTTTCCTTAGCCCAGGTGAGACGCTTTTCGCGCTGTTTCTTGGTCAACAGTGGCTTAACACGAAGTATGCGGCAGTTGAAGCCCATGTCTTTCAAGCGTCTCTTGCTGGTGGATCTTGAAGCACTGACTCCAGCAGCTGTCCACTCCTTGTGAATCTCCCCCACATTTTAGGAATGGGTTTTTTTTTCACAATCTTGACTAGGGCGCGGTGATCCCTATCGCTTGTACACTTTTTCTGACCACAGTTTTTCCTTCCCTTTGCCTCTCTATTAATGTGTTTGGACACAGAGCTCTGAGAACAGCCAGCCTCTTCAGCAATAACCTTTTGTGTCTTTCCCTCCTTGTGCAATGTGTCGATGGTCGCCTTTTGGACAGCTGTCAAATCTGAAGTCTTCCCCATTTTTGTGTAGGCTTCAGAACTGGACTGAGAGACCATTTAAAGCCCTTTGCAGGTGTTTTGAGTTAATCAGCTGATTAGTTTGTGGCACCAGGTGTCTTCAAAATTTAATCCTTACACAATATTCTAATTTTGTGACACAGAATTTTGGATTTTCATTTGTTGCCACTTCAAATCATCAAAATTAAATGAAATAAACATTTGAATGCATCAGTCTGTGTGCAATAAATAAATATTATGTACAAGTTACACCTTTTGAATGCAATTACTGAAATAAATCAAGTTTTTCAAAATATTATAATTTACTGGCTTTTACCTGTATAATCACAGTAGTGCTAAATTAATATTCCAAATCATGCTGATCATAGTTCTCCAATAAAGAAATTAAAATCTTGCAATACTCCATATCAGTAGATTAACGCTGGGTCCAGCAGAGTCCAGTTGTTCTACAGCAACAGAAACCAAAAGTTGAAATATCACAAACTATATCTGCTACACAAACCAATGTTATTAACTGAGTGTTTCAGTTATTCAAACACAAACAAAAAGCGTAATGTTAGCAGGCCGAGCTGAAACTGTGTGCAGACTGCTGTTCCATTCATCTGATCCACAAACTATCCAGTGGCATAAACACAAACGAGAGCTTTAAGAGAACAGGACATCTGGGACGTGTTGGACATTAAAGTCTGGATGATTATCTGACTTAATTAAACGTAGCTTGGCCTTTCAGATAATTAAACGAAATTATTCCTGGAGCTAATGAAAAGTCAACACTATCAGCGTCTACCCAGGAAGGTCTTTCTGGACAACATGCCAAATTAAATTCAGATTTTCTCTTCCCTTCCCTAAACAGTGACAACAAACCCCCAGCACCCTTCATGCTGTTCATCTCAGATGCACATCAGAAAGACAAAGCCAGACTGAATCAGAGTTTACTGAAATTAATCTCCTCAGACTCAGTCAATTTCTGGTTTTTCTTCCCTGACACCAAGAAGTCAGGTGTGGGGCCATTTTAAGTGAAGCAGAAGGATTCAGATTACTGCATTCGATAAAAACACTCAGATCCAATGAGAGCAGCATCCGTTTTAATCCAGTCGGTCTATGTTGAAACAGACACAAAAGCTATTAAACCAGCTGCATGTAGCCTCAAGTCACAATAGTAGAAATGTTTCATCAGATTTTAAAATGAAAAAGATTTAATAAAAAAAAACAAAAAACTTTCAACTGACTGCAGCAGGGATTATATTTGAGTCCAAACGTCCTGAGGGGTTTTATTGACAGCTCTGCAGCAGGTAACATTTAAATGAAAAGCAGCACCATGAAACGGTTTAACTTACTCACTCTAAACTTCAGAGAGCTAAAGTAGAGATTCAAACTGAATTTTTCTACAGGTCTCTGTGTCTGACCCTCTGAGAAAGCCTGAAAATCGTTGTGACAGCTGCAGTAAACCGGTCCCCCCCACACACTGAACTGATAGCAGCTTTGCACTTAGAAGCAAATGGATTATTTTTGGAGAAACAATGGAGGAAACCTATTGTGACACGGACACACTTACTGAAGCAGGCAACCTAGCAAACTCATTCCCTCAAATATTACACATCAGGGCAATCTAAAACTTGTTTACGCCGACAAGCACTCACTTTAGATTCAGACATTACTTTGAGCTTTAATAAACTGGACCAGTGGCTGTTATCAAATAAACCAAACACTTTGATAGGGTACGATTCCACTAAGGGTGTTCTGCTCCTCTTTCATCTCCGCACACTCACGCTGTATGTGAATGAGCTGCTTTGGCATCTTGAATTCTCCGGGGTAGAGGGAGTCGTAGTAGGTGATGTTGCTCTCCGCCTCAGGGACCGGGATGACCATGTTGTCCCGCTTCTCGCCGTAGACCTGCTGCGCCGAGATGGCCCGCTGAAGATGGTGTTCCTGTGGGAAAACAACAGCAGACATGAGGTGAGAAAAATGAAACAAGGCCCGTAAGGATTGCATGTGCATAGTTAATTATTGAAACAGTCAATTTAGGCTAAGAAATCTTAACTATTGGCATATCTTATTTATCAAAGTAAAACCATAAATAAGGATTATAAGGAAAATTTGGCACCCTTTTCAAATCTACAAATCCTCACCATCCATTCTGGTGGATTCTTCTCAACTTTCCCCCTGAAGCATAAAGCCCCATCATGTGAGATCCTGTGATCATGCCTTTATCTACTCCCACTTAATGCTTTACAAACAACGGTCTGTTTCAGCTACTCCACAATAAACAATGGTAATCGGCTCTTACAAATGCATAAATAAATCAGCCCAGAGCTTTAATGTGACAACTTATCATGGTACTGCTACTGAAAACAGGTTTTTAACCTCTTCATTTAAAGGAGACTCATTTTTGGTATAGGAACGTATTAAAGGCACACTATGCAACATTTTTCAGTTAATTAATGTGTTCCATAACGTTTTGGATGATTAAATGAGTCATTTCAGGTTGAACAAAGGTATTCTCGGCCGCCCCGGTGGTCTGTGGGGGAAATACCGCACTTGCAATTGCAGGCTCAGAAGTCTCGCGAGAGTTGGTCTTGCTTTACGGCGAGAACTGCTACACGCCCCAAGTTAAAAGCATGCTCGTTGCTAGCACAGTGGCGATCTTTGTGCAGTTATCATGGCGGAACCAGCGTGAAAACAGCGAAAGCCCATGTCGGAGCAGGCAAGAAAGAGGAAAAGGGCTCCGGACAGAGAGAGAGTCGTACACGGGTGAACATCGGGCAAGCTTTTTCCGAATGGCGAGAGCTAAAATAAAAAGAAGGCTGCAAGGCTGACCCGGACCTCGCGTTTCTGCTGATGCGATTGTAAGTAACATTGGAATGGTTTCTCTCTGTGTGCATGTTCATACTTTCACTGTGTTAGTCATTCGTTGCGTTCGCCTGTCTGCTAAGCTCAAAACAACCGCGCCTGGCTTGACGGAGAAACCAGGAGAACAGCTGTGCATATTTACGACAGTGCACTTTTACTTTCGCCCTTTGGGGGGAGCCTCGCTGGAAAATAAACACCGGTTGCATAGTATACATTTAACCAACATCGTTACCTAAACAGTATAAATAATAAAACTATAAAAAGACAAAATGTGACCATACAGAATGTGATTAAAAAATTCATGAAAACCATGGATAACTGCTGATTTAATGAATATGGATTTGAAATGCATTACCTTGCTGTTTTTCAAAAGTTTCAACCAACTTTCACTTTATATTTAAGCATTTTTTCCTGCTAAGCATTTGTCTTTGCAAGATCGTATAGACTCCCTGTAAATCATTTTGCAAGTCAAATTATCGATAAACTGTATCACAAAAAAGAAGAAGTCTGCTTCTTTTAACGCTTTAGCAAACTGTTATGCATAAAAACATCAGAAAAAGGTGTTCTGTCATATGTCTTAAACAAAAGTTATAAATCTTTAGGTGCTTTACCCAAAGTGACTAATAAGTGAAAGGGAACAGATTATTGAATCATCCCAGCAGTAATAAATAATAAAATTATATTTAAGAAGAGTATTGTGTTTCTGCTGTCCATGTCTATTGATCATTGCAGACATTCAGAGGTTTGAAGAGATGCAGTATTGAAAACATACTAACAGAGATTGTAATAAATATGTAATATTCATGAAATGGGCAATATTTTTACTTGATATGCAAGGCATTTGTTTAAACAGGCAGCAGAACAACAGGACTGTTTTTAAAAGATGTAGAGCAGAATCAGGAACAAGAAATTTCATTTGAAAACGTATCCCTTAATCTTTAAAATCTGTAATTTTTGTTATTTTCTCCCCAGTTATATATGATTACATCAAATAGTGACAACATTGATGGTTGAGGCTGTGGTTTAAACAGAGTTCGGCCCAAAGAGGACAGAAACTGAACAAACTTTCAAACTTAACCTTTGGAACAGAGAACAAGACAGGATAGAAACTCAACACTGCCTTTTTATCACTTCAGCTCATCTACCTGCCACCTGTGTGATAAGAGTTGGCTGCTGCCAAGTGTGTTCAGAGGGAAACAAACAGAGCGGCTGACCAACCGGTTTATGAGAAGACTGTTTGGACATTCCCAGTCAGGTTTAACCGCTGAGCCCTTAACTCATGCTGGGCACAGAGCCAGCGTTGGGCAGACTGCCACAACAGAGGCTCCATAAAGAGGAGGTGTGTGGCAATCGTTCCTCCTGAGGCACATCAAGACAAAGGTGATGGTATGTAAGGTTGAGGAAGTTTGAGTGAATTAGTCAGTGTTTAAGAGAACAACGGGGAGGGAGTCAGGGTTTAACAAGGTCATGAATTATTAACATGTTAGCATCGTGCTAAAACAAATCACAGCCAAGTCATGGATCATCTACAGAATGAGATCCTGGACCTTCATATCCATTTCAACAATCTTTCACTATTTTAACCAACAGTCACATTTGCAGCTTGAACCACATTTCTACTAGTATTCCAACCAATGGTACGTCAGTCCCGTGTGCTCAGCTTGCAGTCAACCATGGCTGAGGTTTTCTTTTATCAAAACTAATCTCACATCCAATTTTAAAGCTCAAAAGCTTTGGCTCAGCGGCACACATCAGATTACAGCTTTATAGACATGCAATCGTTTGCTATTTTTGAAACAGAAAAGGGGATAAACTATTTTCCAAATAATTTAGGGGTAGAAATTATGGCTAAAATACAGGAAGTTCATGTTAAATCCATTTCACTAACTGGTGCACACAGAAAAACAATTAAATACATGCACATTCCCAGTATTTGTCTTTGGTTTTGGCATCAAAAACATATTAAACTTCCAGGGGAGTCGATTTAAAATAAACCCTTTAAGTTCTTTTTTCGTCCATTTCTTAAACCAGGGTTGCCCCAAGTAAGCACATAAATCATTCTGGTCCAACAGATGGAATGGCTAAATTAGGGTGTTTTAGTTTCCATGACGCAATGCAACTTTATTTATATACCACAATTCATGGGGAAAAAAAAGGTGCTTTGCATCAAATAAACAAAAGGCAAGATACAAACATATTCCAGAACTGGGGGAAGAAAAAAGAAAGCAGCTCTAGCAGCATTTAATGTGTTTTCAGATAATTGGAAACCCAGAACTGAAGCAAGGAATTAAATGGAAACAGTTAAGCACAAATTGTCAGCTACTATCAGAACAAGCAAACATTCAGTTTTCAGTGAGTTCATGTAATGTTTATTATATCAGTGGGTCTAACAATGCCTCCCACTAACTTTCCATTCATTTGTCATTTCTAACTGCTGAATTGTGTAGAAAAAAATATGTTTAAAAGTAGGACTTTCCCTATATGATATCTATATATGTATAATATCAACCAAAAATGAATATTGAAATATATTTTGTATATCCACAATGAACAAGGTGATAGAATGAATTCACTTTGCTTCAAGTTCCGTAACCAACGGGTTAATATTATATGGGCCAGTTCTCATACTCATAGTTGTTGACTATTGTTCTGTGAGTAATATCCCCTTTTTTTCCCTCTATCTTTTTTGTGTTTTTACAGAACCAGTGGATTGTTTTCCGGGAAAGGGGAGACATGCAGCAAAGGACCACAGGCCGGATTCTAACCCAGGTCAGCCGTGTCAAGGTCTAACGCCTCCATACATGGGTCGTGCATGCTAACCACTGCTCCACCTGCACACCCATGCAGGTAATATACCTTGACAAAGCTTTTTCTAACATTCCACACAAAAAAGTAATAGATGGAGGTGTTACTGCTGATATCGTATCAGGTCCATGTCAGTATCAGAAATAGAAGAGCTGTATTGGGACACCCTTATTTAAAAGTTGTCACAATGTCCTCAGTTGGTAAAGCAATCCAATAAAAATGTAATATGTTCTCTGACACATCTAAACAGAAAATTTTTTTTCAAAGTCACACGTCTTCTGACTCCATGTGTATGAAGTACCTGGAGGTCTGTTCTTGTCCATCAGAGCAGATTAAGATGCATTACAAATCTTTCTGACCAGGGCAGTTAATTATAGAATAACTGAGCATATCAGCCAGTTATCTGCATTGTGATAAACTAAGGTTTACAAAGATAACATTTATTAATGAGTAGATTTTCCATTATACAACCCTACAGCAGTGTTAATTTCGTCAACCATGATGATGACTAAAATATTTAGTCATCGCCCCTTTTTCCCACGATGGTGACGAGACAAAAACGCATAAAAATTGTTTCCAGAAAATAAAAATATGACGAAAATAATTTTTTATTTTCGTCAACAAGACTAAGACAACGAAATTTACGATCCATTGTGGAATGGACATTAAGAAATGTAATTGTTTATGATTAAAATGTAATTGTTAATATAAGTGTTTGAGCTTCGTGGAAGATTACACGTTGTTGCGTTGTTTGTCCCTACATGGCGCCTGTCCTACAGTGGCTCGCAGCGCTCAGTCAGTAGCAGCAGAGGGCTTATACTCATAGATCAACTTCGCAGTCATTGCAGTTACCGGTGTGCGGTTTGTTAAGCAACGCCTGGATGTATGGAGCCATTTTGTCTACGACGCGAAGGGAAACACCGGAGGGAGGACGCCACCAAAGACTCTGCAGCTTCAACATGGCAGGAGCCAGGCATCTGAGGAGCCAACATGCTGCCATATGGAGAAGTTAAGGAACGGCCTGTAGTAGAATGAACGGGTGTCTGTGTGTGTGCGTGCCTTCCTGTGCCTGTATCTGTCTGTCTCTGTCATAGAAGAAAGATGTTCTACTGATACACTGGATATTAATAGATTACATTTCTTCCTCCCAACTGGATTCCTGACACAGTGATACCACAGCCAGATCAGAGGTTGGGTGAGGAAGGGAAGTCTGTTGCAGAGATGTTCTGAGCACCCCCACTGTATAAACCTGACTCCAAAGAGCAGAAAGTCCT